AGCAATAATTAGGAGCTTGTCCATAGAGCTTTTTGGTTTGCTGAACTTGTATTTTGTCCACCAAGTTCATATTACAGAGATCTGCAGAGTCTAATGAATTACTGCATTCTGCCCTAGCTTATTTTCTAATCTGACATTCGACATTAAGTCTAATAAATTACTGCATTTTGTCCATTAAGTCTAATAAATTACTTCATTTTGTCCATTAAGTCTAATAAATTACTTCATTTTGTCCATTAAGTCTAATAAATATGGAATGATTTAAGGTAATGAACATAAAGAGGAAGAGCATGAGCAGACGAAAGGAAATGGAATACCAAGAGCACAAGGCACAATATAGGCAACTACATTCACATGAAAAAGAGAAAGAGTACCTAGCACAACCCAATACACATCAACCATGTCTACCAAGTTCTGCCATTGACTAATTGTTAAGTTATTTTAAAATCATTTGTTAAAGTTTATTTTTTTAATAAGTATCAACATGTCAGTCATAACCTCTGCCTTGTTTTCCAGTTGGCAAACTATGAAGAATACATTGATGGGCAGTTTACTGRAAACCTTGGAGAGATTTTAATAAGGTATACTTGGATTGTCCGAATAACTTTTAAAGACAGGACAATTTGAGTTAAGAGTGATAGAAAATCATCTCTCTTGTTTCTGATTATACACTCTAGACGGATTCAAGTCTTACACCACTAAGGGTCTGTGTATTTTATCAAATTTTCTCACAAGTTTTCCAAGTTTATTAATAACATGAAGCTACTCATCAGTCTGATTGATCTGAAAGTCATAGTGGTCCTCTTTTTTCCTTGTATTTCCGAAAAACAGAGTTGGTGATTGTTATGGCATTGGGTGATGCTGATACATATGCAGGCATATAGACACCTCAGTGAAGAATTATTTTATATATCTTTAAGTGGTTGACAAGAAAAATGAGTAGCTTCTAAACTGTAGCTGTTGGTTTTTGAAACCTTGGTTTTTGATGGATCATGGTTTGCAGACATATGTATTCAAGTTGATGAATAGCAGTGGAATTACGAGTCTGGAGAGAGTGAGAAGGTTTTGTTGCTGATGGAAAGTGGGGTAAGATTGCATACCACAGCTTATCTCAGGTAAGCTCTCATTGACGATTTATATATCGGCATAACCGCTATACCAAATCACAGTCCTAACCGCAATTTCAGATTTTGACTGATGTAACAAGATAGATCTTTTTCATGAAATACAGTTAATCTAGCTGCCATAATTAGTGTATCAACATTAGAGTTTAGGCTACAGCGTGATAGTCAATCTGGTAATTGAAAAAATAGAACCAAATGGGAAAATTCCTTGCATGTGTAATCCATCAAAAAAGAGGATYAYTGTGTCTCAGACACTGCATAAATACAAACAAGCAATCTACCATCTCGAATCAATATCTCAGGCCTCCACACTTGTCATGACCTATCTTCATTCGGGGAGGGTTACAAGTTGTAAGTGGATAAATATGTGTTATTGAATAATTATTTCAAAGTATATGTTGGGTTTCTTTGCTGTTTCTAGGGATAAAAGTAATACTCCTTCTGGGTTCACTCTCAAATTCCAAAAACACATCAGAACTAGAAGGCTTGAGGATGTACGGCAGCTTGGATATGATCAGGTAAATCTTGGTTAAAGTCAGATTCTTCCTTATTGATTACTGAATTATTTTTTTTGCATCCTTCTAATTTGATGCACTATGTGAACAGATAGTGAGCAAGCCTCTAGAATCATCAAAGTAAATGGGACTTTTTTCTGTGAAAGATGTGTAGTCAACAGGACCAAGGCCTTTGTATTTCAATGGATTGGTATGACAGTAATTTCCATTTTATTGACTGCTATGCAACTGTTATCCTCTTTATGCCTTCTATTTGCTGCATAAATGCATATTTACATAGCATAATTGGATCTTATATAGATTAATCATTTATATAACAAGTTCTCAAACATATTCCCATATTGATATTGCATTTTCGAATCATCTACATGATAAATTGAAAGTTATGAGGATGATTCAACGAACCCAACCACATATCTCTAAGAACGATCATTTTTAAGAAAATGGTGTCGAGATSGGGAATTTGCGCACGGGAGGTAGTGGTGGACGCTCGCCATATGCTTGGCCGATTATCATCGATTTTGGCCAAAGAACTACTCAATGGCCAGAGATTCACCATCGTTCGCTGCAAAGAGATCTGCCTCTCAGGCGGCCTGGTTTGTCAGAAAATGAAGTACATTACGTAATATGGCTTAATCAGTTAACCAAATGCATATTCTGTCATCTAGAAGAGGTGTTTTCTTTACATTCAGGATTCAGCTCACTTTTTTACCCATATGCCGTTCTCCAATCTTATGCTCTACTTTCYGCAAAATGAAAACGTGTTTTTTGTGGGTGTATGTTCTTGTCTTGAGGTTCATATCCAAATCTATTTTACACCTACTTATTGTAGTCATGTTAGTTGTGTGATTTGAAGCAAAAATGAATGGTAACTTTATTCTATTTGTTATTTTGTATTGCTTGTTAGAAACTTTTTTCTCTTCTTAGTATGAGTATTCGTGTAAGATTTT